CTTTAGACTTGATTTTGAATTATTTTTATTATTTGGAGCAGTTTCCAGTAATTTAAGAAGTTTTGTTTTTCATTGATAGGGAGCTAGCAAGTGTTATGAACATGTTTACAAATAACCTTCCATGTTGGAAAATATCTCATGGATACTTTGTATCTTCAGCATATCTAATATTTCCCATTTTCAATGGTTATACATAAAATAGCGGAACACATTCCTGCAGTTTAACCCAATAAACCAATCCTTCTACAATATACACATGGCCACCCCGCTCCCCAGGACAACAGACAAGATTCTGCAATTCCTATCCTGTACCCACAGTAGCACTTTTCAGTTTTGTTTTTAAACATCTTGAAATTGAGTAAAATAAATTTATATCACTGACTTCTAGTGGTTATAAGAATTGTGATCCCGCCCTAACCAGTTTGGCTCAGTGGATAGAGCGTTGGCCTGCGGACTGTACGTTTGTTGCAGGCACATCCCCAGAAGGAGGTGTGCAGCAGGCAGCTGATTGATGTTTCTAACTCTCTATCCCTTTCCCTCTCCCTTCCTCTCTGTAAAAAAATCAATAAAATATTTTTTTTAAAGAATTGTGATCCCTATACACGATAGAAAGCTTATTCTAAGATCTGGATCTGTTGGGACAGTGATTAGAACTTGCTAGTAATCCTAGTGGTAGGTTTAGAGTTAATATTGACTAGTTATCTTCACCCAGAGAATTTCTGTTCCAGAAATTCAATTTCTGTTCCAGACATCAATTTCAGCCCAGCCCTTACCAACCATCTCAGAAAACCAGGCATTTGGTCACAGGGAGGCTGGAAAAGTAGTATAGCGATGGCTCAGCATAAATCCATTACCACTGCTAAAAAAGCCAGCCTAAAAGAGATGTCCTGTTAACTAGGTTCTCATTCAAGTGCCTTAGCATTGTAATGCAGGTGATAGAATATATTAGAGTTATTAAAATCAAGCCTATATGATCTTTACAAATTTTATAAGACTGTATTAAACACACGTTTATTGTATGGTCTACATAAATGGAAAAAACTTGGCCTTATACTAAATTGGTTCCTATGGAAATGAGCAGCGGTGTCCTAATATAAGAATTCAGATTTGTCTAACAAACTTCTCATTAAAATTTTATTTGAAAGCCATTAGGTTTAGAAAGGGGTGATTTTCCAAATAAAATGTTTAATTAGTGCATAGTTTAGAAAACTAAGGTGGTTGCCCATGACCTCTACCTGTCTCAAATTCAGGGAAAGGTTAGAAAAAGGAATGCTTTCTTGAAAAAAATATACCAACTATTAAAAGTTATATACAGTAACAAAGGGTATTTTCCTCAATTACTAAAAAACGTTTAAGCCTAAAGCTTCTTTTGTAGAAATTCTTCTCTCACCTAAAAGCCTTGAAAAGGGGCATGTCAGAAAATGAGTATTTTAAATGGATGATAAAGTGGACACAGGGTTTTCCATGGAAAATGAGGATTTCAGGAAGAGGAAGAGGTCAGGCCATTTGATTTCAGGCAGGAAAGCCTTCCAAGGCAGATTTTCAGGGACCGCAAAAGATACTAGTGACCATCCCATAAGTGCTAGGGAATTCTTTTGGATCCATAGTTATGATCAGCTATGAAAACCACTTGTTTTACCATTTTGTAATGTGTAGTGTAAAAATGACACTAGCTAATAAACATCCATAAAATGTAAGACAAACATCGTATAACTTTAAACTCTAAAGTACACCTTTTTACACACATGTAATATAAAGTAATTTTTAATTCTAAATCAATGCACATTCATTGCGGAATAAAACCAAAATACAACATGCAGATGTAACAATGTTCACACCATGGAAGATCAGGCATTTATCAAATTTTTTTTCTATGTCTGCCCACATATTTTGTAATGCAATCAAACAGATGGACTACTACAATTTGTCATGAATATCTTTCCATGGCTTTGAGTAGAAGTCTAGAATGTTCTCATTAATGCTTTATTGCATTCTCCCGCCACTATCAGTGGACTCCAACATTCCACCCATTTTTAAATTTTTATACAAAGTATGATGAGGAATAGTCTTGCACTAAAATTTTTTACTCAAATCCATGATTATATCTTTAGGATGAACCTCTGGAAGTAAAATTGCCCAGTCAAAGGATCAAGATCAAACCTTTTGCCATCAGATTCTACTTGCCTTGCAAAAGGGCTAACATGCATCAGCCACATATGAATATGTACAATTCTCCACATACTAAAAACACTAAAAAATAAATAAATAAACTTGACCAACTTGATGTAGAGAAAGGAATATCACTGTAATTTTTATTTGTATTTGCTTGAAGAACATGAACGTTATTTTAAATCGTCCAAGAACACCTTGGGTTATTGGACTGATCATTTATTGGGAGTAGATAACACCTATTGCCTCTGCAAGCTCTTCAGATGTTGCCAAACACTTACATAGTAAGTTTAAATTTTCATTAATCAGTTATGTGTTTTGCTTGTGTTGAAATCCCTAAATGTTTGCTATTATTTGGATGAAATAACTAGATCATGGAATGAACATTACATTTTCCATGTAGATGTTTTGATGTGGTTTGGCTTTAGCTAGAGATGCCTTTCAAAATATTTAATTAGTATTGAAGTCATTATTTTTCCCACCTTCAAAATTTCCACACATTTCAAAAATTATGGTGCTAAGATTACGTAACTTTATGGAGTAAAATGGGTCAAATTTAAATAATATATTCAAACACCTTGCTGTTTGGCATTGTAAAGATCCTACCCTGTCCCTACCCTCCTCCTAAGAAGAACAGACACCAGATTTCACAGATACCTATGGTAGCCTGTCCAGAGCAGACCGGGCTCAGAGAGGGAGATAATTTAAATGAGGTGCTAGCATTGTCCTGCATAATGAGATAATCCACATGGGTAATCAACACTCAAACAGGAGAGAAAAAGATGCTGGAAGCTTCATCTCCATGCCAGTTCTACCATCTTCTCTAACCCCCTACAAAAAAAATTTTCCTGAGGTGGTTTGATATGTATTCCATTTTGTACTCAACAATGTGCCAATGTTTGCAAACACGCACTATGCCATAAAGCAACAGAGGAAATAGCATGAAATTTAAGTCATTGCTTCAAATTCTGTACTTTGGAAGACAAACTCAGATGAAAAATAAATAAGTTAAATAGATAATAAATAGATTAGAGCTATTGATATTTTCTGCTGCTTCTACAGTTACCAAACCCTTTCAGCTACAGAGGGATATAAGTCAAGCTACTTTCTGATAGTTCTTATGAATCCATAAAAGTATAGGTAAGGAAAATGTTTTTTTTTTTAAAAACACAGAATTAATATTGACCCCATTTGATACAAGTCAAACACAAGTAAACAGATTCAGGTGAAACAAAATGATAATAAAAAGGTCATTTATTGATTTATTACTGATTTTACAATATCCTAAAATTAACTGTCCATTAAGTATCTATAAAGAGGGAATTGTAGGAAAAAAAGCAATAATCTTTCTAGAGAGCAGTAAGAGCCTTAGTGAACTCAAATGCAAAATGAGGATATCAGAATAGATGGCCTTCTGGCTATGAACTTCAGTGGGTACAAAACATCTCTCTCATTTATCTTGTTGTTGCAACAATGAAGTGTCAAAGGATTTAGGTTTGATCTACTTTGGAAAAGAAAAATGAGAGAATAGATCTGAGGGAAAAGAGACAGCTAAAATGGTTATGCCCATACTATAACAAGTAATTAAAGGGAACCGATGTGGTTTCTCAATTTAAAATAGTTACTTTTTATAAAGAGGATTGTTGTTGTTTTTCTGGATCTGGTCTTCATGAAAATATTCATTTAATTATTTTAGAATTTTAAAAAAGGCCTGAAAATGTGATTTTAATTAGAATTACAATGATTTTCATATTAGACACATTTTACCAACCAATTAAAAAAAGACCTGAAAATATGATTTTAATTAAAATTACAATGACTTTTATATTAGACACATTTTACCAACCAATGAGCAAAAGGATTTATTACTTACCATTTGTCATTAGAGATAATTTATGTGATACTGAAACTGTACAAACGGTAACATATAAAAGATGCTAATGTGCTAGGAAATAAAAGAAATACTTATTTATAAAAATATATTGCAGTTTTCTTTTTCCATATAAAATTATTTAAATGGTAACTTTAAAGTCAATAGCCTGCAATATTTTACAATTGTTCATATATATATATATATATATATATATATATATATATATAATTGATTTCACAGAGGAAGGGAGAGGGAGAGAGAGATAGAAACACCAATGATGAGAGACAATCATTGATCGCTACCTCCTGCACCCCCAATCCCCAGGGGATTGAGCCCACAACCCGGGCATCTTGTCCAGAATAGAACCCAGGACCCTTCAGACTGACGCTTTATCCAGTGAGCCAAACTGGCCAGGGCCAAATGTTCTTATATGACACTTTTTGAATCTGTGAACTTCTACCAGAAATATATAGCATTCACATCACTCCAGTAACATTCAACATACCAGTTTTTTCAAGTGCACAATGTCAAAAATATCTATAGGCTTTAAAAAACAGACTGTAAAGTATAAATGCCATAAATAATTAGTATATGCTATGGGGGGGGATAGCCTTTTAAATATTATGTTAAATTTTAATGTCAATAATTACAGAAATAAGTGATGTTGGTATTTGAGGTCTTTATATTCCAGCAGTCTGAAGACACCCAGTCTTATCAAAATGGTGAATTTTTAGGCACGTTACTTGCTCTTTTCCTTTGGGAATCCTTAATTTATGAAGCATGTTTAAATAAATGGGGGTTCATTCTTTTTTTGTCTTGGAGATCAGATGAGAAACCATTCTTAAACATTGTAAAATATACCAGACTACACTCTTTACAGTCATTATATACACTGTCATTAAGCAGTGGAAATGTTAAAGGGTCCTTTTCTCCGCCCTTTCTGTTTACCAGCACTTACCTTGCCTGCAGCTTGCCAGGTAAAATTCATGGAGTGGATATTGACAGGAATAGCTGGCATTCTCTGTTGTGCTTTTCTGAAATCATGTGTGAAGGGGGCCATTTTCCCTTCTGAAACAATCAGGATGTCTTCTTCAAATCCTGGTGTTAGAAAAAGAAACAAAACTATTAAAACTAGGTGGACTTAGAAGAATCAAAATCAGCACTGCATGCCAGAAAGAACACCCAAGAATCAGTAGGGTTCATTGCTTTCCACAAAGCACCTGCCTTGGGACCGACTCATTCTCCTCCTCTGTTCTGTGATCAGAATGATGCCAACAGGCACACGCTTTCAGGGAGAAAGAGCGCTAGCTGGCGGTACCCAATGCTGGGTCCACCTAACCACGGAAGGTTGTAGGGACTAGCAACAGCAAGATCCGAATGTTAGAAGAGCCTGAGTTTCACGAGAGAGAAGTTTCTATGCTTTCCGATCGCATAGCTCGTGAGAAGGGGGAGCAACCTCCCTTGGAAATTAAGTTTTAAAAGCATCCTAAAAGTCATGCATCACTCCTCCGTTAATGAGAGCGTTGGAAAGAGCGGAGATACAGGCAGGGGAAGGTCGCTGGGCTCGGGGGCCTTCCTTACCTATGAGCACTCTTGCCTGGTGAGCGTCGATCCACAGGTATAGGCTTTCCTCGCGCGGCTGCCCGACCTCCGCGCGCAGCCCCAGCAGGCACGGGAGGATGCTCCAGAGCCCGAGCGCGGCGGCGGGGAGGGCGCTCCTCCGGGCCATGCTCGTGCGGACCCCTCGCCGGCGGTGGCTCCCGCCGCTGGAACTCCTCCGACCTCACCCACGCGGACCTGCGGCGGCGAGGCTGTCCCCGCTGTCCCCGCGGAGCCGTCCGCGCTCGTGGCGTCCCGCTGGGGACGAGTGAGCCCTGGAGGAGTAGAGGAGGAGGAGGGGGGAGAGCGCAGCGCGAGCCGGGCTGCCGGCGAGGGCGCAGGAGCGAGGGGGACAGCGGAGACGCGAGGCTGGCAGAGCAGCGGATGCCAGCACGCCCGGCGAGACCCACAGCCAGAGGGTTAAATACGCGGAGAGAGGGAGCGCGGGAAGGGAGGGCGCCAGGGGGTGCGTGTGAGCAGTGACGAGGCCCGGCGAGCCGCCGCTGGGGGGCGCTGCGGAGCGCGCGGGGCGGGGCGGCGCGGGGCCCGGAGGCGGCGGGCCCAGAGGGAAGGCGTGCACAGGGGGCGCGTGGTCGAGGTGGCTGCGAAAGGGGAGTTGGGAGACACCCCTAGGACTGCACTAGCCTGTGGCCCCAGCCAGGCGAGGCACGGGCCTAGGGAAGTAGAGTGAGCTGAGCTCTCAGGGATGGACTGAGCGCCGATGATGATGATGATGGAGACGAGTCCCATTTCTACCCTGGTGCTAAGTGAAGGCGCGTTTTCTCCCACGTCTCCCTTTCCGACTATCATTCCTCTCTCTCTCTCTCTCCCCGCAAAGCCATCCTCTCTGATCCGCGCTACGCTGACAGGTTGCGGGTTGCCCTGCCCTGAAAACCCGAGTCTCCAGCGCCCAGCGCTGCCCCGGCCGCAGGCACCGGGCTCCGCGGGGCGCGGGCTTTCACGCCGCACTGGCCAGGCCCCTGGACAGATGGGGGGCCCTTCTCTCCGCTGACCCGGCAGCGCCAGGAATTGTTCCCAGTCGTCCCTGACCCCGTATGAGTAGGGCTCCAAAAGTTGTGACTATCTTCATATTGACTGGCGTTTCAAAACAAACAAACAAACAAACAAACAACAAACACTTGGAGGCGTGCTCTGGTCCTGAAATCACAGGCGCCGGAGGACAAGCCCGAGGCGCCGGTCTGGCCGTGGGGAGAGTAGGTGGCTGGCAGTGACCTACCGCCTCCCCCACCCACCGTCCCCAGCAGAAAGGACTTCACTTCCCCCTCACCCAGCCCCTGGGATGCGCAAAGAAAACAGAAGCAAAAGGTTGGGGTCATTTTTTATTTTTAAAGAACGATTTCAGACTCAGAAGAGGGTTGTTTACTTCTCTTTGTTCTTTAGTGCCCAGATGCCGCGACAAACGCCCAAGGACTGGGTGTCACTCGGTGGCTCTGTGGACAGTTCAAGAGGGAAAACCAAACAGAAACAACAGAGGAGGCGCTGAACATGTGCACACGTTGAGTTCAACAAACGTTGGGTCACGAGAGGTTATTCACTGTCAGGTCGTGAGAAGTGACTGAAAAGAGCAGACGACGCAGTTCCAGTTACGAAATATTTCCAGTTGTACCATTGTTGGTCTTGGAAGAGATTTAGATAAGCCCGTGACTATTTGAACGTACAGTGTCTTAATTTTAAAAGGATTTTTTTATTTGAAGTGCTTACTTAATCCTCACAACTCTTTTAAGCAGGTACTATAATTATTTCCATTTTATTGATGGGGAAACAAGGCTCAGCAAGGTCCAGTAAGTTGATTGTGGTTACTTACCTAGCTGGTAAGTGGCAGAGTCAGGGTTCAAAACCCAAGCACGGTGATTTCAAAGCCCATGCTCTTCACTGCTATACTGGTGAGTAGATCACATTTAAGTCTGTTTGAATCCAAAACTTCCCTTTAAAATAAAAACAGTTAACCTCTTTTCAAAAATTTTCAGAGAATATTCATTTATGTAATGTATTCATATGCATTGGGCAATCTTTAAAGCACTTTAGCATTGCAATGCCAATTGCCTCCTAGGTAAAGATAATTTCACAAGACAATGGACATTTTCTTTGACTCCCTGAAAGTGTGGTTTTAATTGAAATGTTTTGCTTAGTATTACTCAAGCCTCTATGGCTCTTGGTGCAAGGACGCCCTCTACAGGTTGTTCTAATCAAACACCAGTAATTAAAAAATAATCCATGAAATGTCCTTTTTGGTAGAGAAAAAGAGGTACTACTCAGTTTCCTAGTTCAGATTCCTCAAAGTGGGATTTTTCTGCATCAGCGGCGGAATTTGGTGTTGGTGATAATGGGAATATATTTTGCTCTAAAGAATTATTTTCCCTTCCAGAATGGATGATCTCTGTTCACTTCTCCCCAACAGTGGACAATTAGAAAATTCATATTTTATTATAGAGGAAAAGGTTATTTAAAAAAATATTGGAGTTGAACCTTTTTGGTCTTTAAAGGGAAGGAAGAAACATATGTTATACACCGGTCAGATATTTTCAAGAGTGTCTTTTGAGGGGAAGGTCCATCTAAGAGTTAAATCAGGCTTGACTTTCTGTTGTTAAGGAGCTGTGACAGTGGCATTTGTTTTCATTCAGAACGCAGTGATGTTTTTAAGTTTCTCCACTCAAATAAAAATACAACAACATCTATTTGCACATGATAAAAATTGGGAAATAATGTGCTAGGACACAATGTATTACCAATCAACTTTGTTTAGTTTGTAAATTCTACCATTGATTTTCCAGTCCATTATCCCTTCTTTTCTTGTGTAATTTATTCTCATCAATTACATTTGCACGCAGGTTCATTTATTTGTTCATTAACTCATTCACTCATTCCAAGAAGATTTATGAAGTACCTATTTTGTGCAAGACACTGACCTAGAAAGTACAGGAAAGACAAAGGCAGTAAGAAACATCATGAAACTACATGAAAAACAAAAAAATGACCCCAGCCCTTGAAGACCATTGGAGTTACAATGAGTAAGACAAGCGCCTAAGCAACCATAATGGGAGACAGAATATAGTGATTGTTGACAAGACAGAGGACTGGAAATTCAAAGAAAAATCTTATATCTGGGATTCTGGAAGCTTTTTAATTCATTCATTCAAGTGTCAGATGTGTGCCCTGTACAGACACAGGGGAAAGGCAACTAAAAAGACAGCCCCTGTTCTCAGATACTCAGTCTAACAGACAAGGGTGTTGGGAATGAGCACTAGGAATGAACACCATGATGGAGACGTAAACGGAGGGATTGGGGGGGGGAGTCTCTTGATGCAGATTGTGTTCTGGGAGAACTTCCTAGAGTGCAGGGAACTTGAGCCGCCTTAAAGGTTAAAGAGCAATTGAACACGTAAGGGAGGAGGGGTGTCCATGCACAGAGAGTGGCCATAGCAAAGACGAGACTAGAGAAGGAATAGTGCTATCAAGGATCTGCCAGTAGCACTCTGCAGTGTGATGAATCTGGAGTGAGGGGAAGAGGGAGTGTCTGGATGAAGCTAAAAAAAGGTAGGAGTTGGTTATGGAAGATTGTGCTGAGAAGAATCCCCCAAAATTTATGGAGAGACATTGTCCTCAAGGAGGTGAAGCATAACTGCCCACTCCTTAACTATGAGAGACTTCCTTTCATAGAGTTCAGTATGGAAAAGGGGAGGGAGGTAACTACAATGGAGAGACCTGGCAACTATTACCTCATCTAGGTGATCAAGGTCAACACCAACAGGGATGCTCTGTTGACAGTATGTACCCTTGATGTGGTATGATAAGAATGGCACTTTTGTGGCATTCTCCTGAAAACCCATAGGCTCAGTCTAATCATGAGAAAAGTATCAGAAAAGCCAAATTGAGAGACATCCTACAAACTATCTGATGAGTTATCCTCCAAAATGTCAAGGTCATTAAAAACAAGGGAAGTCTGAGAAACTGTCACAGCCGAGAGGAGCCTGAGACACATGACAACTAAATGTAATATGCTATCCTGGATGGAATCCTGGAACAGAAAAGCGACATCAGATAAAAACTAAAGAAATCTGAATAAACTGTTAATAACTATGTGTTAATAATGGCTGATTAGTTATAACAAATATACCATACTTAATGTGAAATGTTAATAATAGGGAAAACAGAGTATGGGGTAGATAGGAATTCTCTATACTATCTTTGCCATTTTTCGGTAAAGCTAGTCTAAAAAAATTAAGTTTAGTTTTAAAATAAAAGGTCACTTAGTTGCTGTCATTTGAAAATCAGAAGATTTCTCATAAAAATTAGGATTTCTAGCTTCTTAAGGCCTTTTCTGGCTTCTCGTGGCTTTTTCCAGGAAAATGTAGGCCTCTGTCAATGTTCACTCCTTACAAGGGATGTGTGTGAGTAGGGACTGCCATTTAAACAGGGCTAGCATGCTCTACTTTTACGGTTACAGTGCTCCTCTGTGGAGCCTTTTTCACTCATCTGCTTGACTTGCTGGGTTTCGTTAGGCATCTGAGTTGTGGCCTGGAGGAGAGGCTATGGGACAGGCAAGGAGAGAGTACCTCAGGGCTAAAGGAGCTGGAAGTGTGGTTGTGTGGGAACAAGGGCAAAGCCTGCTGTAGGGAGGATCTTGTCAGTGCCATTTCTGCCAGCCACTCTGCATCATGGTCTTAGCAAAGGCTATCTGGGTCACTACAGGCATTGAGATTGAGATTGAGGCATGTCTGCAGCACCTTGAGCTGGGTTTTGAGAAAGCTGGAAGCAGGCTCCCTTTCAGCACACTGGCATATAAAGGAGGACATAGATAGAAAGTGAATAGAGCAAGTAATCAAGTATTTATTTATTTATTTATTTATTTATTTATTTATTTATTTATGTTAATCCTCACCGAGGATATTTTTCCATTGACTTTTAGAGAGTGGGAGGAAGGTGGGGAGACAGAGAGAGAGAAACACTGATGTAAATGAGACACATCGATCGGTTGCCTCCTGAACACACTCTGACCAAGTCTGCAATGGAGGTACATGCCCTTGACTGGAACCCAAGACCCTTCAGTCCATAGGCCAATGCTGTATCCATTAAGCCAAACTGGTTAGGGCGCCAAGCATTATTTTTAAT